TGTGAATTTCAAAAACTAAAACCAACTTGAATAATAATAAGACAGAAAAATTGAGAAGCAAGATACAGTCTTAAAATTCATAGGTTCAAAACAAGTTTAATATGGATCCAGGATAAAATTATAATGTTATGAATGGGATGAACATGCACTTCTGCTATGCATATATTAAACAGTACAGTTGAAACTGAAAAGTGACAAACAGTGCAGTCATGGTCAACATAATCTAAAAAGAGATATTAACAGGTCAAAAGCAAGACAGAATACAAACCAAATCCAAGGATCTGTTGCTGTAAATAAGAGAAAATGACTGATGTTCTTTATCAGGCTGAGGGCAGCGCTGGAATATTGCCTGCAAGACCATGCAAGCAAAATTTTGTTACTTTTACCTCCTGTTGAGACTGCTGCAGTCTTAACAAATGCATTTCAAGAAGATAAGGTACATAGTTCAGATTTTTCTGATAGTGAAAAATTTTATAGGAAATATAGGATTGGTTAGGATTTAGGAGCTCCTAAATAGTCAGTAGCTTCAATTTTCACACTTAGTTTTGTCCACAAATGGTTTGATATTAAGATATATTCACACTCACTTTCTTTAGGTACATATTAATATTGTTAAAATTAGTTCGATATGTAATAAAAGTGAGCACATAAAAGTACAGATCAACAGCAGAAGGCATTATAAAATATTACTTCTTAGTAGATGTAGAATTGGTTAGATTCTCCTAAAACATTCAGTAGCTTCCATTGTCAAACTTTTTTATCCATAAATTTTGGCTTCATATTAAGAATATATTAAAACTCTGTTAAGATTAGGTTAATTCTGTGTTAAATATACAGATCAACAGCAGAAGGCATTAACAGATATACGGACTTATGGTACGCTGTCCAGTTATAATCCTTGAAACATGGCTTAGTTTGAGTTGTTTCTCTTTTTTGTCAGAGTACCAAATCAACCTCATCCTTGCATGTAGAAAAAAAATGATCTTAAATCACTGTAATCACCCTTACAGAATGTGCATATTAATTTGTAACTTTGTACACAAGGTTCCTTGGATTTTGCACAACTTGTTCAATTCATATAGCAATATATGCTTTACAGAAAGAAATAGAGGTGGAAAACCTCGAAGACAAACAAATAAAACTACTATCAGTTGTTGCTCTACATGTTCTTTTAAGGACCTTCTCACAATCTGGCTTAACTCATATATTTAATATTTGATACTGTAATATTTAAAAGTTCTTTGGCTCCAATTACTCCTAGTAGAGTCAGTTTCACATATGGAGCAAAAGCCATCCCAACTAGAAAGAAAGTGAAATGCATATAATGACATAAAGTTAAATTCTCTGCCAACATTTGAACTTGACAAAATTTTCAACCCCTTCTCAATTCTCTAAGTAATCCTTAAATACAAACTGAAATACAATACATGAGATTAATAAAAGGTTGAACTTAAACATGATAACTCTAAAGTATCATGCAATGGAAATGTATTTTAAGTCATATTCGCATGATAACAAGTTAGTTTTGAAAGACATGGAGCAAAGCATATATCTTCCTGAGGTCCAAGGATTAAGAGAACACTGCTAGAATGTTGCTAGATATGGCAATTGATCAGGTTAAGCTTGTTTCATAAGAAACTGATGCGGCTATCTTCCTTGATCCCCTTTTAGTATTTTTTTTTTTTTTTTTTGGTTTTTCCCTTCTTATACGTGCACAAAAGAGGTTAAGTTGATAAGACATCAAATGTAATGAAAGCAGTTTAAGGCTTAAAGAAGCACAAGAACACCAGATTCATGCATATGTGCACAAACCAGACTCCAGAGCAGTCACTTAGGTTGAGAACCTTAAGGGTAAAGCTGCATTTAGATCATCCATAAGATAATCCGGCCATGATAGGGCCAAAATCTGTTATCGACCCTTCATCTAGAAAAGAGCTTAATTTTTGAAGTAAAACTAAAAAAATTCACATGTAAATTTTTGGGTTTGGAGATGAACGGATCACAATCCACTGATAAAAGCCTTTTGATAGAAGGTACTTAAAAGCAGGCTACATCAATTTAGATGAGAATACTTTTACTGCTTGATGATCAGTTGATCACTAATTCATCACTTATATGTATTACATTCCTTTTTGAAGAAAAAAAAGTAGTTTCTAGAAAGTTCATTACTGAGAGTTCTCAGGGTAACATGATATCCAATGAATTTTCAGTGAGGAAAACTTTAACCAAAGAAAAGTACCAGTAATTCATGCAGCGGAGATTCAAGGCAACATAACTTAGAAAGCCAGAATGGACAAAATTTAGGCTTTCCCCAACGTCCATACTTCAGCAGATACATCCCTTTCTTAAGGGTTGTAATGGCCTGCAAAAAAAAGAGACAAAACTATTACATATACTAATTATATTTGAGGAAAATGAAAGGCCTAAAAACATATAGACTTGGTTGCAATACCAAATTACCATCTGAAAAGGAAATCTAAAAAAAATAAAAAGAGAGTACTGAATAAAGGAGCTACCTCCTGAGAGGCTGGAAGAACCAGTTTAGATATGGATAATGGTGCAATTTTTATCAAACTGAATAAAGAGTAAAAGGTTTGAAAGTATCATGAGAAGATGAGAAGATAACCTTCTTTTTTTTTTGAAATAAGGAGACAACCTTCTCAAACTAAAGAAAAAAGAAACAGTGAAATGTAATGAAGGTCCCATAAAGACATGTAACTCAGCCTATAACATCTACAACCTCCATGGAAGGGAAAATATTCTACTTTAAAAGGCAATGCTGTCAATGTTGTAGATCGCATGCTGCTGAAACGATCTAAACCAATATCCTTGCAACAGTCACAGCTAGAAAAGTTCATTACTTGGAACAAGTTATGACTTTAACATAGATTCATTTACAAAAAAACCAGAATAACAGTCATGTATGGAGAAAACAGAAAAAGGATATAACTTTAAAATCAACGATCACAAACGAATCAAAAAGCATAATCAGATTTGATTCTTTTGCAAATTAAAAAAACACTATATATAAATGAAAATATAAGATAACTGAATAGAAGAAAAGAGAATCAGAGCGAGCTTTTCTCTTTCTTTTTTCTATGTTTTATATTCCCTCCTCCGAGTTTGACTGTTGACTTCCTTTTGTATTTATATATTTATATTGGTTATATTATAAAAATAAAACCTTAATACAAATAAAAAAAAAAAAAGAAAGAGAGTTTTGGTTTGAAATCAAATTTTTTATGTTCTTTAAGCGTCTTTTAGTTATTAGATTAAAAGTTTGGGAACTGTATTTTTATATATTTTTTATAATATAAAAATAAATATTTTATTTTTAAATTAGTGTAAAATATTAAAAAAATACTATAAAAAGGATAAATTTTCGAAATTTCTAATACCAAGGAACCGAACAAAATTCAACTGGAATCAGTTTAATCAAAGCCACCTGCTCATAATTATCTAAAAACAAACATTTAGTAGTTCGATTAGAGATGTTACGACAAAATTTCATTACATTTGATTGGACGTTCGGAAAAAATTCGATTCCAATCAGCATATTAGAGATACTATTTCATTAGATTTTCCGAAAATCAAATTGCTCTCATTAATCGCAATTTTTATTGAAAATCAATCCGAACCTTTATCTGCAATGAAACGAGTGTAAAGCCCTTTTCAATCCATTGAAAAGGATGCTAACTGATACTTCGATCCTAATTGCTTCTTGAACCTAAACCAAATTGATATCTCATCGGTTTCAACGATAACACTATCCCATTGTGATTTTAGCTGTTTAGTGTTTTCAAGGCCCCGTTAATCCATTTCCTTTCCTTCTGATCCTTTGCCATAGCTTTGAAAACTTTTAAAGGAGGTTAGTTTTGCGAAATCTAACTTCCTTTTTTTGGAATTTAATTTTTCATTGTTGATTTTATTTAAAAATTTTCTTTTAAAATTTTACAATCCCAACTGTATCAGAAAAGAGAAAATAAGGTAATACAAAACTATTACCAAGGTTTTTTAAAATTTTGAAAGGAAAATAATTTTTTTTTATTTAATCTCAATTAAACACATTTTAGATAATATAAATAACAATGCTATTTACCATAAAATTGTAATTATATATATTATATAATTTTGAAAAAAGTTATTTTTAATAGTAAAAATATAATTTTTGTTAAAGATACATTATGAAAAAAGTTATTTTTTAAAATTTAACAAAAATAATATTTTTAAGAGAAAAATGATCTTTGTAAAAAATATGAAATTTTTATTTTTTAGAATTTAACAACATTTTTAAGACAAAACCGTTACTTTTGTTCAAAATATAAAAATATTATTTTTTAAAATTCTTTAATTTATTAACGAAAACAACGTTTTTAAATTTAAAAATATGTTATTTATTGAAGATATATTATTAAAAAATGTTATTATTACATATAAATTTTATTATTATATATTATATATATAGTAAAACTTAAAATATTTTAAATAATTCACAAAATATTAAATGAATAATTTTATTAAATAATCTTACATTATTCTAACCAAACACAAATCTTACATTCTTTAAAATTAACAAAATTAAAAAATCACACGCTTTTTTTAATATCATTTTTTTAAATCTAAAAATTTCAAAATCTAAATCTACAAACCAAAATTTCCTAAAATATAATGTGTTTTGAACTCTTGCAAATTGGGGCTGCAAATCCCCGAAGGATAACAAAGCATTCGAAAACACTAACGGAAGAACTCTAATAGTCTTTGTTAACCAGCAACTACATCTCCCAAATCGAATTTGTATATTTCAAATTTAACACATATAAAACAGAATTTAGCATGAACAAAACACAAAAAATTATTGTATTACAATTACATTGATCCGTCAAACACAAAAAATATTTTTTTTTTTTATTTTTATCAAAATTATAAATAATTTTTATTAAAATTTTAAATCATTGTCGTGTCTTTTTTTTATATCGTCCTACCATATCATATTTTTTTTATATCGTCCTATCATATCATATTTAAAATTGACAGATCTACGGGCAACCAAGAGATGCATGAAAACTAGCAGGGAGACTAGAATTAACACAAGGTATGCCGAATATGAAAATTATTTAGGACCTTGCACTATCTACCAAGCAACCCAAGATAATTACATAACATTACACAAGCATTCAGAGTTTTTCACAAGAACCAAAAGTCTATTTTGGGATGACACCGGCACATGTGACTTTCTCTAGACAGCAAAATATACAAGACATTCAGAGCCATAAGGATCAATGTCTGTAGCCGTCATCATCGTATATGTAACCGTAACCATTACTCCTGGACCTGTCAGCCTGCGAAACAAGGGACAAAAATGTTGCACTAAACAAGCTGTGATATTGAAAACGCTTAAACGATAATCAAAATTTTCCAGGGCTAATATCCGTTAATTGCCATATTTCTTATCACTTTCAATTAACAAACAAGACAGGATGACCTATCCGAAAATAAGGATACTATACTATTAAACTTCCGCGCGTGAACATGACAAGTCTCAAAAGCATGTAAATGAAATTGAACCAATCATGGTTGATGGCATACCCTATGAATGAGCTTCTCAAATGCTTCAGTTCCATTCTCTTCAATATATCTCTCCGCAGCAGTTAAAATATCATCTGGCTTACTGAAGATGTCCTTCTTCCTTGGAATATACCAGATGTTAATTGTTTGTTGTGGGTTCATAAAGAAGGGTCTCAAATAATGCTCATAAACATAAGCAGCACCACTGAAGTATGGGATGACCAGCCAGCAGGTGAAAATCAGCTTTGCATAGGACCAGATGGGAATCCTGCAGTAGAGTTTTAAAAGGTTTTAGCAAAGCATAGCAGGTTTTATATCTGTGCATAAAAATAATAAGAAGGCTTTAGTATACTACCCGAAAAATTAAACCAGTAAGAAGAATAGAAATATTTAACACCTAGGTGAAACTTCAAATAGCCAAGTCTGATTTAATTTCACAATGTCTTCCAGTTTTTCTACAGAATCAGTTTGTTATTACAAAGCCGGTTGAAACCCTTGCAAAGCATTAACAGCTATATTAAATAATTAGTTCCTCTTCTGGTGAATGAGAAACAATTTGAAGAATACATCGCACATGCACATGGTCATCTAAACTGCCGATTTTGGATAAGCTCAATAACAATGTTTCTTGAGTTGACCAACTAGAACAATATATTTCAAATGGAATATCCAAGCTTGTCTTACAACCCCTCCAGCCCCCCACTCCCCTCTCTTTCTCTGTCTGACCCCAAAACAAAGGGAAGAAGTTAACTCGAATTCCAGGAAAAAAAGAAAGCAATACAAACTGGATCAATAAAGAGCAAATAAATTTACCATTCAATGACTTTGGCAAAAGTAAGCTCCAGCAATGTAATCATGGAATAGAGAACCCAATATGTAAGCCATTGTCTGTCATCAGCACGAGACTCAGACTCAATTGCCCTAACTGAGGCATATCTGTTAAGAATTCAACACAACAGAACAATTAAACCAATCCAAGTAAATGTCAAAATCAGACAACTTCTGAACTACAGTACACAAAAAAAAAAAAAACAAAGAAAGAAAGAAAGAAAGCAAATGAAACCCTAAAAAAATTAAAAAAGAAATACACTTACAGAGGATACAGAAGACTAATAACTGGCCTGCAAAATCAACCCAAAAACCACATTAACAAATAAATATAAAAAATTCAGAAACAAAAGATAAAGTTTGGATGTGTCAGATTAATAAGTTCAAAGAAAACTTGAACTTTACCTTGAAATAAAAAAGTAGACATAATCCCAGAAATCTGTTTTTCTCTTAGTTCATTTATTAAATTTATAATTTTACTTTTATGTTCTTAAAGCAGTAACAAAATACATACCCAAAAGGGAAAAACGATAAAATGGCTTAATGGAAACAAGTTACAATTGCTTTTATTTTATTCTTTGTTGAAGCAAAAAAAGAAAGCAAAGTTGATGAAAGAGAAGAAGAACAAGAAGAAGAGCAAAGATGAGTTATACCCAGCAAGAACATCAAAGTTCTTAAGAAGAACCTTAAGGAAACTTCCAGCCCCAGATCCCATCTCTGATCTCCAATGCCCTTTTTTTTGTTCTTTGTCCTGTTTCTTTCTGAAACCTCTGATCTCAAAACTAAACAAAGGGTAGGGTTTGCCTTTGTTTTTGCTTTTAGTTTCAGTGACAAGATTGTGTGCAAGTTAGTTCCTGCGTTTTTGTGTACGAAAGCTTTAAGCTGCCAAAAGCAAGTCGTGAGACAATTATTCTCTGCTTCGGGTTGATTGTCGGTGTAATCTAACGGAGGATTGTTCACATTGAATAAGATGGACGGTTGAGGCTGTTCCTCACTTTCAAAACAGTGAGGGTGTTTTTTATTTGTTTGGGAGATGGGGTCCGCTGTGCAACCAATCAGCCCAAGTGAAAATACTATGAAGGGACTTTCTTTCATTGGAAACCACAGAGTTGCCACTTCCTTTATCTAGCAAGTTCTGAAAACGTAGGAGGGAATTAAAGCTTCCACAGGAGCCACATAGGTGCCATCGCACCCCAGGAGCCGCGTAGGTGTCATGGCATTTTGGCTTTTCGTTTTAAAACAAATGCTTTGTTGTCAGATCAACATTTGTTAAATTGTTCTCAGACAACTTTTGTTGTTTAGTTATTTCAATGCCTTCAAAATGTGCCTTTGTTTTATGGAGTTGAAGGTGGTCCGCTAATGTTAGGGACAGATAGAGGATGTAAGCCAGTTTTTAACTTTTCATTGATCACCATCTATCCATGTCAGAGTCAAAAACCAAAATTCATCCAATGCACATGGAAAAACACTATTGATTCATCTTTTAATTCACCCACTACGCGACGTACAAGCTTTCGAAAGCGTGGCAATCCTAATTTAACCAAAAGGAAGGGTTGGGAATTTTGCAGAAGTAAAATTTACAAGTTATCTGGGCTTCTGTCATTAAGTTGACACTCATTCCTAATTGCTGACTACTTCCCAAGAAGTTGAGAAGGCCATGAATCTGCCGGGGTGGGATACCGAGCATGTGGTTTGCTAACAATTGAGTTAGGCTTAGCTGCAGCAGGTTGCGTGGAATCAGGCACAGAATAAGCCTGCATATCGGGACAAATGGGAACAAGAAGGAGAGCAGAAGGTCGTTGCAGAGCAGGTTCTACAGCAGGCAAACCAGGATGATCTCCATGAAAATGTGATGATAATTCTGATTGCTGAAAGTCAAGAGGAGGCTCATTCAGGTCAGGTTTAGAATTGGCCACCCTTGTCCCTATCTCACTTTGCAGTTTCTGGATTTGAGTTTCCAGGATGGAATTCTCCTCCTTCAGCTCATTCGTCTCAATGTTCACCTGTCCACATTTCGGATAACAAAGTGGTTGAGTAAAAGCATGTATCAATAAAATGGGGTACCATTTTTCTACATTCAGCAAAATTATCAAAGATAAGTTTAGGGGTCTTACATAGTGAGATTCGGATAACAAAGAAGCATTCTCCTTTTTGAGGGTCTCAATTTGACCAAACAAGTCCTTTAATAGTCGAGTTGCTTCACACAGAACAGAGGCCTTCCCATTGTTCTGCTGATTCGGATCTGCAGAAAAATTTCCTCAAGTTAGATATAGCAGTATCTTTGAACACCTCAAAAAAGGACTTGTTCTACAAATTGAAACCTACGCCAATTATCAATGAGAATCATTTCTATGATAGCATTTAAACAAAGTTCTAGTAAGTCCTAAATGTCGAAAAGCTGGAACAGGAAATTGATAAGACTTTAAATTAAGTTACCAAGAGCATTTGCCAGGTCAAGGAAGAGCTCATTCAATTGCTCACGCTTGAGCTTCTCCCTCTCAGCCTTGTGAATTCTTTTGGGAACCTTTCCCTTGGTCTTAGGAGCACAAGACCTGTATGGAAAACAGTTTTCAGACTAGCAAAATTTGCTGCTTTCATCAACAAATTAGGCACTTAACCTGCATATTTTCATTGCAGCCAGAACCAGATGCTTCTGAAAATGCTTAAACAGATATGTCAGCTAAAAGATAGTATAAACTATGAAAATCAGGAAAATCCAATGTCATTTCAAGTAATATATGTTGTTATGCAGAACAATTATCGAGATTACCTAAATAACGCATACTTAGAACAAGAATTGACGCATCCCAGATATCAAACAATGGCGCATAAACAAACAAAAGCAGCAAGTTGTACAACTAAAAAACATCAAAAGATTTGAAACTAAAATGTATAAGGAAGCACATGTGATAATAATGAGCCAAGGCTCACAAAATTGAAACAAATGGTTTAATTAAGCCATGAATTTAGACAAAAAGCAGCAATTACAAGAGAAAGGCAACTAAAGCTTCTAAGATCTTCAATGACTAACCTGCCAATAGATGTCTCCATTGCTGCATTTGTCTTCTCAACTAACGGAGCTGGAGTATCAGAACCCATGTTATATCAATAAATTTGAACAACACCAAGAATTCCCTGAAATTACCAAGATAATAACAATTCAAAATCTCGAAAGTTCATTATCCCTTCATTGATGATTTTATAAAACTAAACCAATAAATCAGACACCAATTAGAAAGGAAAAGAATTGCAATGCAGATATTGGGTATTACTTCTCAACCAAGAAAGTTGACTTGAATGGTTGTCAAATCAAAGAGCTCACGTTTAACAGGAATCAAATAGTAGCTTTTTTTCTCAGATAATAAGTTTTCCCAGAAGATGACAACAACCACTTAAAATCACGTTTCAATTGCAGCCCCAATTTGACCATTTGTTTCATCTATAGTCAAGTTGATTTAGCCCCGCAAAAAAAAAAAAAATGCATCTAATTTTCTGAAAAAACTTGATCAAGAAAACAGAAAAGCTTCAGACAAAGTCTCACCATTTTCTTATCAAACGAAAAGGGCAACCTTAAAATAAAAAAAAATCCATCTCAATAAATCAAAAAAAAAAAAAATCAAAATCAGAGACAACAAAACAAAAATAAAAAGCCCATTAAAACCCACATCAAGATGACAAGATCAACTTATTAGAGACGAAAAAAAAGATAAAACTGAGAAGACAAGAATTGTGAAACAACCATTGCAAAAAGAGATAGTGTTACAGAAGACAGGAAATTTTGTTGTTGTGTTTGTAGGAAATTTAGGTGTTGAAGATGGGAAGGTTTGTTTGTAAAAGTTTGTGTTTTGGAGGAGAGAGTGTGTGTGGTGTCAGAAAAGAGTGCACATGGAGGCGCGTGGCTGGCAACTTACGAATGGTGCATTGACTCAGGACAGGTGGACTTCACACGTGCTCTTAACCTCTTCACTTTTGTCTGCTTCATTTTTGCTGTGTGCCATTTTGCTTCACAACTCAGCTTAGGATGTTGAGAAAACAAAACATAAATAAATGCAATTTAATATATGAATTTTTTCAATAAATGTAAATGAAATTCTTATTTTAGATTCTTACGGTGATAAGTAAGGTTGGCAATTTAATCTATATTCATCGTGTTTTAATATAATTTTATAAGATTAATTTTTTTTAAATCAAATTTTAAGTTAGGTTAAATATTGTTTAAAAAAATTAGATCAGATTTTATATAAATTCATTTCGATCTAATCCGATATATATTATTTTTATTATTTATTTAATTATATATATTATATATTATATTTATATTTAAAAATAATATTTTATATTAAAAATTAATTTTTATTTAATCAATTATAAATTTAAATATATATTATTTAAATCAAGTTTGAGTATAAAAATAATATTTTAATATTAAATCTAGTCAAATTTGAAGCAAATAAAAATTTAGTCTAATTCAATCCATTGTCATCTCTAATGGTGTTAGATTTTAATTTAATTATTTTAATTCATGTATAATATTTTAAATTTTTAAAAATCAATTCAAATTGAAATTAAATTTCTTTTAAAATTTGAATGATTTAAATATTAAATTTTTTTATAATCAATGATGAATTTTGATATTTAATTATAAAAAAATATATCTCATTCTTTATAAGATAATACACTAATAAAAAAGAATAAATTCATAAAATTGTAAGCAAAAGTATGATTATGATAACATTGAACGTTGAAAATAACAAAAATTTTAAACTAATGGTACAAAAGGAAATATTAATTACATAATCTTTCATAAATTATTGAAAATTTTAATTCTTTTTGTCAATTTTAAAATTAAAACAAAAATATAAATAAATCAACAGATAACTAATATATTATTTTATTAAACAGGAACAGAGAAGCGCGTGGTGGACATAAGATGGCAGAGCATAGCATACGTGACTGAGGGCTGCAATTGAAACTGACAAATACGTGACTTCTACCACTGGATACTTTCGCAAGGGGGCGTGTGCCGTCCACCACGTGTGCCCTCCGCCAGCATGTAATATCGGACAACATGGAAGGCTTAGCTTGTTTGGTGAAAAATAATTTTTATATTTTCAAGTAATTATTTGATAAAAAAAAATTATTTGATTAATGACAATTAATTTATTAATCAATAAAAATTAAAATTATTTTATGAATTTAAAAAAAAATATTTTTCACAAAAAAATTATTTATGAATAAAATTATTTATCAATATTTTTATTATAATTTTTAATAAATAATATTATATTAATAAATAAATAAATTTATAATAATAAATAATATATTATATTAATAAATAATATATTAATATATAATATTATAATATATTGATAAACAATATATTATAACATATTATTATATTTGTTTGTGGAGAATGGAGTATGATGAGATACCAACGCGGTATTTTTTTTATCATTATTAAATTTATTTATTTTAATTTTTTTAATTTTTATTAAATAATTTTATAAAAAAATTAATGAAAGTAGAAATGATCAAACAGTTCAACATAAGTGTTTTTTTTTTTTTAAAGAGATCGAATTAAAATTTCTTTTAAAATAAGTTCAAATTGGAGATGAATATAAAATATTTTACTTTGTTTTTAATGTTTGCGTGGTACCTTCCTCTTTATTTTTTAAAAGCTTTTACTTTTTTGGATTTTTTTTTACTTTTATCTTTTATTAGATAAATTTTATAATAAAAAATTATTTAAAATAAAAATAATAAAATAATTCATATTTTATGAATTTCGATTCACTTTAATTCAATTGATACATTTTCTTAATTTAAGAATAATTAGATTGAATTTTTTTTTTATTTTAAATCAATTCAAAACAAAATTTTGAATGTTAAATCTCGGACTTGTTTTATGCTCTTTCTATTCCATTTTGTTATCCATCTTTTTTTTTAGATGTCTCAAAATTATGTCTGATTTTTTTTTGAATATCTAAAACTCTTACTTTTGTATTTTAAAATTATTTTTAGGAATTTTTTTTTAACTTTTGACATTAAAAATCATGAAATTTTAATTTTGTAAATTTTTTTCAAAATTTTAATATTAAATACATTAAAATGAAAGCTTTTTTTTTTTAAAAAAAAAAAAAAACTCCATGAAAGTCAATATATGACAAACATTTTGAGATAAAAGGAGCATAAAAATAAATTTTTTTATTTATTTAATTTTATATTTATATATATTATTAAAAATATTATTTAATATCTTAATTTACTAAATTCACATTCGATCCATTTGGCTTTTTTTGATCATTTTTTTGTTATTAAAATTTTATTTATTAGATAACTTTGTAAAGAAAAATCAATGGATGTAGCTTTAAAAAAATTTTTAAATTGTCTTTTTGAAAAATTTGGATAAAGTCTAGATCTAATTTAAGATGCTAGCTGACCCTCTAGGATATATAAAGAATATATTTTGTTATTTATTTAATTTATAGTTATATATATGTCTTATATTAATAAAAATATTCTTTAATATTTTAATCTAATAAAAAATTATATTTATATATAATTAAGTTATAATTTGTATTAAAAAATAAATACATTTATATTTATTTATATATGGTCATCCATTAAAACTTTATATAAAAATTTTACTTCTCTCATATTTAAAACATAATTTAAAAAAATAAAAATTTATCCCACGACAAAACACAGATCTAATTCTAATAAATTTTAAGTTTATAAAAAATATAAAAATGCACAAGCTATTTTAAACTCTGTTTGGATTGGTTTGGTTGATTTTCTTAGTATTTATTTATTACTATTCTTTGCACACACACACACACACACAAAAAACAGAAAGTAAAATTAAAAAAAATAATAACAAAAACATCAAGTAAACCTAGAGCCCTTGACCATATTCTAGAAGTTAAATTAAATCATGAATTTCACACCATGAATGCTTGAAACTTGAAAGAGTAACATTTTTAACATTTCATTAGATTAATAAATCTTTGTCCCAAAGTGAAATATTAAATAAACCATGAATTGAACAATGAAGTTTGGTATCAGCTTTGCCTACAACCTATAGAGTATAGACAGTGTAGGAGAAATGAAATTTATAAGGGAGGATTGGCTTTAAACATAGTTCTGCAACAATACTGCCAAAGATTAAATGTGCTCAAAATTACATCTGCATTTGGAACTTCAGGTAATTGAGCAACCCAGTTGGAACCTGCGCGGCTTCATTCTTCCATTCAAGGCAAGGGCCAAGACATCATATTCCTCCACATACCACAGCTCCGACACCGTCGCCTGAATCATATTTGAACATCAAAAGCAAACCAATCATATTTGTAGATGCCCAAAAAAACATAAAAAGCATTTGCATACGATGGTGTTGTTGCCAGTAGCCTAAAGCTATGCTTAGTACATGAGGATTTGTGCATTCCTAGTTTAAGTTCCTTGACAACGTTTTCATCAATATGTTAGATGGAACAAAAACTTTAAGGTACTCAAGATTTTTTTTTTGTATTGGACAAATGAATGTTACTAATCAGAAATTATTAGAGTTACGGGGGGGGGGGGGGGGGGGTCAACAACGTATAGTAATAAACAAAAGTAAAAAACTTGAAGTGTTAAATTGTGATTTCTAGCAAAATGAGGAAAACTTGAAAGGTAAGACTGAGATTTTGAAAACGCCAGCCCCTTGGCTCCGTCCTTGATTATCAACATTGAGAAGAACCAACATGACTGTCAAGTTAGGGGTACCTCCTCTGAATGTGTTGGATCATGGACGGTAGCATGTGATGATTTCCCACATATGCAGCTAGTCAAACACATGAAAATGCACATGAGAAGTAATGATACAAAGTATACCAACTTGCCTTAAATCCACGGATTTTATTGTTTAGTTGAGTGACTAGATTATGGAAGAGTTTGAGCTGATTTGAAGTATCACGAGGGTCCTGCATAAGACATGAATGGTAATGGTATACATATATGTAAGAATATGAGCTCAAAACCAATCTCATGATTCATGACAACTTTTATTTGCCATTTGATCTAGAACAATGACACTAAATATAACAAGCTTTGCCAGACATTCTTCCGCCCGTGTGTGGTATAAAGTCACAGTTCACTCAAACAAGAGTCAAGGGGAACCTTATGATGTGCAAGTCCATTAAGTTGCAACACTTTTCCAAAGAGACAATCATCAATCTACCAAACCAGAGTGTGCCATACCAACACCAATGGGCTTCTCCCAAATTATAAAAGCAGTTGCCATTTAGTCATTCACGGTTCAACTGTCATGGCAATATGTGAAGGCATGAAAATACCCTGTTTACCTAGTTGTTGTGGGATAAAATTGGCAGATTACAGACAAGTTGCCAAACCTAAAGCCGTAGAGCAAAACTAGGTGGCTCAGAAGATAGTGACTTCTGGACATGACTCAAACTACATATAAAAATGTGTCGAAAGGACATTGATACCATACAACACTGGCAACACAGGGAATTTGAGGAACTTTTTATATTCATGCAAAAAAAAAAAAGGCATTCAATTTCCTCAAGCATAGGTTGGGTATATTACTCGCAGGCATAGTTTAAAGTCAGATGTTAAATTCAAGAGAACCATAAATTTACTGTAACTAAATAAAACTTCAAAATAATACCATGATTGAAGCTTTAGGGTGACCCAGCAGCCTTGCAAAAGATGTATGAAGAATAGCAGCATCATACTGCAACATTAAGCAGATAAGTGTTAAAAGAAAAATATTTTCTTTATAACCAGCCACGTACTCTTTAATTTCTTATCATTGTCAGACCAGATGAACAGAACCCAACATTGATGCCAAAACCATCAAATAAGAGTTAAAAGCCAAGATATTGGAAAAAGTATAGCCCTGAAATCCACAATGTTGCCATTTATAATTTACTAGTTAAACAGAAACTAGAATTTTCATAAGGATCTTACAAGTTGCTTCTCTGGTGCTCGTGGAAGTGCTGTTCTCAATTTAGCACGAATGCTTATGGGATCCGTTCCAGAAATTACCTACAGAAAGGAATAAATAAATAAGCGTTAACCTGTACACAACAAAATCTTTTGTTTTGTTGAGGGGTCATGCAGAAGAAAAGGAGAGTATAATTGAAAGAGTAACCTGCCAGCAACCAAGAAGTACGCCAGTTGAAGTTAAAACTACCCTGTCTAAGACAATTTCTAAAGGGCATAAACCCTCTGCAACAGCTCTAACAGCAGCCGCTTCAACTTCAATCTGACAAAAGAAATGAGGTCTCAAAACCTAAGGCCAACATCTAACAAGTAGAAAAAAGAGGCAGAAAATAGCTCCAACAGGCAGTTTACCTCAACTTCAGTGGCAGGGACAGGAGAAATATGATGTGAGGCGTGGAACAAGCTGAAATGGTACAAGCTAGAGTTCTGAAACCAGATTGCTATCCAAAATATATAAGCATGCGAACACATGAGAATAAATACAGAAAAGGAAAAATATCAAATAACTAAAGGAATAAACAAATAAACTGACTGAACTGTTCTTGTTATTAAAGAAGTATCCAATAATTTAAATAGATAACAGTTAATTGTGGAAGAAACAGCATCGTAAATATATATTCTTTACAACAGATTACCTTTATCAAAGTATGGATCAAATACTTGTTTTACAGCCTTCCTGTGACAAGCAAAGCATGAATGTATGACATAAGCATCAGACTATCACGTAAGGACTAGCCCCCCCCCCCCCCCCTTTTCCTTTCCCACTTTCTCTAGCCAAGAAAAGGGGTTAAGTATAAAAAGGAGATATTATATAGAAGTCCCCACCAGTTATATTGGAGAATAAATTATAGAAAGCCAGTTGCAACTATCAAAAGGTATTCATATCAGAAAGCTGAGCTCATCCCACCACTACAACTGAGCTCATAAATGGACCTACTATAGTAAATGTTTCAGTGTATACTTATGCTAATGTGGAATAATGGGAAATCACACATAACTAAGATCAGATAAAAAGTATTAATATGGACATTTTAGTTCTGAGGTCTATGTTCTATCAAGAAACAAGTAGGTCATAAATTTAATAAAAACAACAAACTAAAAACAGAATCCAAAGGACACAAAATTCTTACGAGATGGGCACTGAGTATTCTGTGCTCATGTATAAAACATTGGCCCGTACAGGAGGATGTGCTGCCTGCAACGTTGAGGAAAACCATTATTCACTGCTCATACAGGAAGATTGATTACAGCTCTTTTGACTCATATATTACCTTAAGTACAGGTGTCACAGATCCATCTTTCAAAGTAAAGAGATCTGAAAGTGACAATGATTGAGAGGTTTCACCATGTTTTAGAAAAGCTGCTCCATGCTCATCCAAATCCCTTTCCATTTTATCATACAAGGCTGATCTACGTTCAGTATTTGAAATAGCAGAATCTGATACAAATGTCCCAAACAAAATTAGCATATTCTGGTCTAGATTCTCGCCTCTTTGAAAAAATCTTGCCTTAATTTACACAAAGCCTGGTTAAAAAAACTCTAAATTTCATTTTTGATTGATAGAAATCTTATAAAAAAATAAGGGTTTTAGAGCTAAGGCAAACATGATGAATTAACCCCATCAATTCACAACAAGCAACATGAAGTTCTGTGGATTTCAAACCTAAAATCATGTAAAAAACGTGGTATCAAGGTTGCTGAAACAATCATCCTAAAAGTTCAGCCTTTTATTGCAAATTATAAAAGCAATGCTTAAGAAGTAAAAGGAAAGAGGACAAAGTATCTTCCCTTTTTTCTTGGCGATCAATAAGAAAGAAACACAGCATTAGCACTCAAAAGTCCCAAATCCCAGAAAGAAAACATGAAGTTTCATTAAATCCCAGCAACAACAACTCATAAATACAGGATAATTTAATATCTCATATGAAAAATGATATCATGATAAATAACCAAGCTTCATATCAATTATAGCAAGCTAAAATTCCATAAGATCTCAGAAGTTCTTGTCTTTTTTCCAATTAGGATGTCATGATAAATAACCAAGCTTCATGTCAATTATAGTAAGTTAAAATTCCATAAGATCTTAGAAGTTCCTATCTTTTTTCCAATTAGGATGTCATGATAAATAACCAAGCTTCATATAGTAAGCTAAAATTCCACAAGATCTTAGAAGTTCTTATCTTTTCTCTTCATCAAGGTTCATTCTTTTCACCTTTAATTACTCATAGGAATGAATATGGAATGAGAAAGTAAGAACTTCCCAGAGGAAGAAAGAAGTGGCAGAGATTACCTGAAGGGGAAGAAGAGGAGGAGGTGGAATGCTGGAGGGCCATTTGGAAGAGAGAGTAAAACAAAGCAATAGAGAAAAACCAGATCAAGGCAACAGTTTTTGAATGGCTCCACCAATTTCTAACTCTACCCATTACCATTTCATTGCCTTTTTTTTTCTTTTTTTCTTTCTTAAATTAACACCCAATGAATGAATGATGCCATTCCTGCAGAGTGGATCAGAAATGGCTACTATTTGACTATTTCTATTTAGAAGTTTTATAGTAGGGAAAAAAAAAAAAAAAACCCTGTAAAAGATTCATTGGAGCAGGGTCAGCTCTTTCACAAGGAATATTTGGGCCCTTAACTTTGCTTTTCTGTGTTGATAACAGTTTGGTCCAGTTTGGTTTTGAACAAAAATTGCAAGCAATATGCATTATTTTGATTTTCTGATAAGCGGATGAAACCGAATTGAATAGCGTTTTTAATTTAATAAACCTCAATCGAATTTCATTAGTTTGGATCCATTCGGTTTTAATTCTAAAAATTTATATTTCTGTATATTATTTTTATTTCTTGTACTAATTTAAAATAAAACCTTTATTTTAATATTATGAATAACAAAAAGTGATTAAAAATTAATAAAAAAATAATTTGGCCGAATTTTGATAATTGTGGTTTTTCATCTTGTGATAGGAAACCGAATGGAATAAATTACTATTCAAATTGAAATTGAACAGAATTTTATAAAAACTTATTTCAACAAAACAAAATGGTTCAATTTTTTATTTTTTTCTCAGTTTTTTTTATTCGAATAGATAAAAGTGTTCATAAATCAAATTTAATCTAATTAGCATTTTTAATTTTTTAAAATTTTGTACAAAATTAAGCTTGACCCGCCTATTTAAACCCAATTAAGCCAGTTTATTATTTAAAATAATATTAAAATATAAAAAATTTATTTTAATTTTTTATATATATTTTAAAATTAAATTTAAAAAGAAATAAATAGTTTATATTAAAATAATAATTCCAATCAAATCTGATAGGATCAACCGGAACTTAAAAATTTATATCTAAGATTTGGGCTTAGGTCGAGCCCGACCAACGAACTTAGTAAACGGCTTGGCCCATGAACCGGTCTAGTAACAGTTATATCTCTTTGTGTCTTGTCTTGTCTGTGACATCTGACTGGATAAGTTGTTCATTTTCATTCTATTGTTTTTTTCCTTAATTAAACAAGCATTTGTTAATTACATTTAGGAGTGTAATCGAATTGAATCGAATTGATATAGTAAAAAGCTCGAGTTCGACTCACAATTTGAGATTCGATCTTCGGCTCAAATTTGATCGAGTTTTATTTTTCAAGTTCGAGTTCGATTCGTGATCGAATTCGAGCTACTCGAACTCGCTCGATTAATATATAAAAATAAACTCGATTCGTATACTCGATAAAAATTCGATTATTTATGTTCGAATTCGAAATATTTTATTAATTAAAATAATAAAAATATACTTAAATATAAAAATTCAATTAGACTCACGAGCTACTCGAACCAGATATAAAAATATTTAAATTCGACTCGATCGATAAGTCAAGTTACTCGAGCTCGAGCTCGATTCGATAATAATCGAATCGAATTTAAATTTTCTTCAAATTAAATCTAAATAACTTACATATACTAATATATTATTTACACCCCTAATTACACTCCATAACATACCATTCTAGCGAAATAGCGATAATATTTCTTTTGAAAAACTTTCTCCCTTGTTGAGAATTGACTTCACCCTGAAATCAAAGTTAGACCTTTTCTTTTTTTTGCCGGCTAGTTGCTTTTACAATATAGGCCTTTAGTAAAAGTATCTCGTCAAATGAGATCTCGTTTTAAAAAAAAAAAAAAATTTAACATATTGAAGTCTCTAACTTTAAATTATTTTTGAGTTTGTAATTTATTTTTAAATTTCTTATCTTATTATTTTCTAAATGGATAGAGAAGTTATTATGTGTCTAAGTTTTTTGGGATTTATAATCTTTAAATATCAATTTTAAAAATATGTTAATTGATATAAGTGTTAATCTGTCTAAATTTTAAATATTATCATATGTGAATTTAATTTAATTCTATGCTTAGTTTATTGAGTTATATGTGGGTACTTTGATTTGCTGGTATGTTTATTATTTTTTATGAATTTTAGTGATATTTTATTATGGTTGCAATTAATTTTACTTGTACTTATAATTTTATAAAAAAATTTCAAATTTTGATTAAGAAACATTGAGCCTAAATAGCTAGTTTAGTAATTCTCTCTTACAATAAATCTTGCATTTAAAAGTTAACAAAATGTTGCTAATGTCAATAATTATGCGATCTAATATCAAAATATCATATTTTCAATTTCAATGGTTAAATTTTAAATCTTGTAACTAAAACTCCAATCGACGACGATTATTTAGTAGCATAAACCTACAGACTCTTTATTGCCAATTATTTTTTTCCACACAACACAAGCATTGTAAATTAGAATCAGTGAAGGCGGCATTGCAGTGCAGATATAATAAGAAAATGAGGCTTCTTAAAATCCTCTGCTACAGCCTGCCATAGCAATTTTCTACAAATGAAAAACAGAGAAGTCAGGTAACTGTTAGAACTAATTCTGCATTTTTAATACCTCCCCAATTAATTATAAATATAGCTATATAGTTGATTGGCAGTAGAGATTTGTGCAGAAAATGGTTGCAGCAAACCTCTTTAAGAGCATATGCAGAAACTTCTTCAATGGACACCTGTTTTTCACACACAGAATTTTGATGAACATAATTAAAACATCCTTCTGGACACATTTCTGGCAAATTATAACATATGGGTCTTTTCTATCTTCAATGATTTATGATTCAATATTGGGTTTGCTGGCAACAGGGCAGCACAGCAGCAAACAAACATTACACATGCAAACTCAATTAACTAGCTAGCCTTCACTTTTTGCCAGCTTCCCCTTTTCATTGCTTCTTTATATCACGTGAGATGTCTTATAGTTTCTTTTTGTTTGGAGAATTGCAGATTGTAGACTTAAAACTTGAAGGTAAAGTCCCAAATGTATTAGGAGCTAAAGGCAATGACCCTACCATGATAGCACTGTCAAGGCCATCTATGATATTGTCAGAGCGGAGTTAAAGGTGCTACCTCTTGTTTGGATTTATCTCTTATAAAGTAGATTGCAGTTTAGAAATAGAGAAAGAATTTTAGCTGTTAGAAATTTGAATTTTAAATCAGTTAGTGTTGGATGATGCTTTTTAAGAGTGATTGTATAATTTGATTGAACAATTTATTTTAAATTTGTTAAATGATACATTTTAAAAATGATTACATGAATTGATTGAATTAAATTATTTGAAATTTTTTATGTTATCATGTTTTTGCCGAAAAAAACTTGTAAATAACATTAAAGCTGAGGAAAAAAAAAAGGTCCCAAAATCACACAACAATTAAGTTAGGGTTGATTAATTTCGGTGTTGGGTCTTGACAAAGTTTGCATTTATGTGCTAACCACCAACCTCCTGCAGGCCAAATTGGCAGTCGGTAGAACTCTAACCAGCAATGTATGCAGTAGGCTGAGCATCAACATCAAATCATGAAAGGATTAGGAGATCTCCTGGGGCCAAATGAGGCATTTAAAAACTGGCATTAAGGGATTTCCTGGCCCAAAATTGAGAGAATCGGCTGATTGTTATCAGCCACTAATCAACACTAAAAGAGTAATTGCAACCCCTCAATTGTTTGATTAGAGCAACCTCCGAGAGGGGTTGGGATGGGATACATGGTTGAGAGGTGGTCTAATCATGCAATTTTGGGGTACAAAGAGATTTGGGTGGGGTGTCGGGAGACTTTTCTCTTTTTATTGTTTGTTCTTGTGATTGTACCAATGCGGGGTTGAAGTCCATGTGCACCAATTGTGTTGTGTACCAACCAGACCGCTTCCATTACTCGATGATGGTTTAATTTTTGACACCATTTCCCTACAAAAAACATGAACCCATTGGTCAATTAATGCTGAACCATGTGCTGAATCATCATTTTAAATGCTCCCATTTTATTACTATGCAGGCATGCACCATTTAGATCATATATTTTTATAAGTTTATATTTGAGGTATTATTTTATACATTATTAATGAATCAAATTATATTATCTTATTAATTAGTTAATTTTTTAAAAAATATTAATTTTTATATATTTATTTTAAATATTGATATTTATTTATTAATAAAATGATATAATCTGATTTACTGATAATATATAAAATTTATATATTAACACTGTATCAAATATAAAATTTATATTTATATATGCAATAGTACAATAATCATTTTTATTTTGTTTCTCTTGAGGTCAAACCATTGACCAATCACCATTGCTCCAACATTGACATATATCAATCCAAATACAACAATTTATATACCTTATAATGTTGAAATTGAAACTAAGGGGGTCTTTAGCAAGAATGAATATAGGGTTTATTTTGATATACATATACATAAACATATATATATATATATATCTGTGTGTGTGTGAGAGAGTGATGACTCAAATTTATAATTTCGACTTAAATCTCTGAAATCCCATCCTCACCCCTTAATCTTCATACAAAATATCTCATCTCACTTCAAATATCATCTCATATTTCATTTGGATTTTTTTGGACCAATAGATTCCATTTGGTTAATACGTTTATTATATACTTTTTTATAAAAAAAAATAAAAATATCGATTAAACGGAGTTTTTTTTTTTTTCAATGACAGAGCTTTAATCAAGTCCAATTAACTTTTACCATATGCTTTTTTTTTTTTTAATTTTCTTTAGACTTAGCTAGTTTTTTTTTTTTTTTTTGGTCGAATTGACAAAGATGGTCATTGTAGTAATAAAAGTCGTAATTTAATAACATTGATTGTATTACAAGATAAAACAACTACTTTCATTTGTTCAATGATGTATATAATTGCATTTCATAATTGATATTATTGATCACCATCTACATATTACATGTAATAACATAAGGTTTAAATTTCTCCAAATTTTACTTGAAGCAAATCTTTCTAGTGGATGATCTTAAGAACACATTATCTCAATATCGGTTTACTGCATTCAATTTTTTTTTAAATGTTTCCTATAAAATTCTAATTCTGATCGACGAGAATGGAAAATTATTCATCTTATAGTTATTGTTAGTAAAAGGGTTAAGTCTTCATATCCATTTTTGTGACACATTACATTTTTTCATACAAAAGTATACATTGTGCTATAAATAACATGAATTATAAAGCCAACGAAACGTTGTAACCCCAAAAAAAAAAAAAAAAAAAAAAAACCAAAGAGACATGATAAATGATGGTATGGGCTTAAACATGGATGAAATATTTAATTTATCAAGTTCATACAATTAAAACTGTCATTTCTTCTAACCTTTTAACAATAGATTTAATTACATTTTTTGCACCTAAATTTTGAAAAAAATATAAAAATTAGTATTTACACTATAAACTTTCATAAAATGTACAATTTATATTCTAAATTTTTAAGTTATATATTATGTTAATCCAAATTTTAATTTCATTAATTATATTAACTTATATATATATATATATGGTGTTGGACAAATATTATCAAATTATTTATTCACTACACATATTATAAACATTTTTCAGTAAAAAGGATCTAAATTTTTTTACGTAAATCATAGAAATTGTTTAAGAGATCGGTCAATTATTATTTGTCGCATGATATCCATTTAATATTTTTATTTAACAAATAACATGTATGTAACAAAATTATATAAGTTAAATATTATAGAAACAAGTTAAATTAATAGTAATAAAATTTGAACTAAAATAATATATTATTTGAAAATTTTGGATGTAAATTATGTATTTTATTTTTTTAAATATCAATTTATCATTTTTTCATAGATCAAATACAAAAAATATAATTAATTCTTAACAACAATTTTCTCTATATATGTTGATTCACGAGATTAGATTTGTATTTATTTTTTCCCCTCGGCATGGGAACCAATTAAATATATAGCACTATAGTACGTAGTGCTTATGCATATATATAAAAAAGAAAATTGATTTTGATGACTTTATGAAGTGATGTAATCTTAATTATTTCTTTCTATTGCATGCAATCATTGAAATAACAAAGATTATTCCAATTGGACCTATGTGCTTTCTTTTTCCTCTCTCTCTCCCACTTGTACACTTTAATATATATTATATATACATATAATGTTAAAACTTTTCTTTATCTTTATCTTTTTCTTCCCTAATAATAACCCAAAGAGTAATGATTTGATTAATCTCTTCACAAAGTAGTGGGTTGATTATATATAGTAGTAGCTTTATTAATTTGGGATTGGAGTTTGTTGAAATTATGCATCACGACAAAATAATTAAGAAAAACCATGTGCAGTAAATGTTTGGCTTTATTCACCTCTTCAACACACAAAATAATTTTAAAGAAAAAACTTGCACTTCCATAATTGATAGTACCATATTTTTTTTGGGTCGAAGGATAAGGTTTACTATGCTTCGCTTCATAATTTTTTGTTCATAGTGATCAAAATAAGTTTATTTATTATTAAATTAAAAAATTTATATTTGAGCATAATATATACTGTTAGTGAATCATATAATGATATTTTATTAAAAAAATTAATTTTAATTATATTTTTAAGATTAAATATATTTATTTTTAAGATTTTAAAATTTTAAAGTTAATTTTTTTATGAAACGATATTTATGATTTACTAGTAATGTGTTTATATATTAATAGTATATCGAAAATAAATATTTTATAAAAAATTATCTTCACATAATTTTTTAATGGATTTAAACTCAAAATAGGGATGTCAATGGGAAGGGTTGGGTATTCCTCATCCCTTTTTCAAATTTTATATTATATTTATTTTTGTATCCATGTTTAATAAGTATTTTAAATTTATTTTCATTCACATTTTCATGGATATTTTTATGGGTATGAATAATCTCCATACTTATAACTTAAAAAAAAATTAAAAATTATTTTTTTAGCTTTTTTATTTTTAATTTATATATTTAAATAATTTTTATAAATATATATAAATATATATTTTTAATAAAAAATATATTAATTCTAATTAATCTATAATAATATTTTATATTATTTAATGAAAAAATTTATTACTAATTATATATAAATATATATAAGGTATAAATACGAGACAAATATTATATTATCTATTCTCATATCTATATTCAATAAAAATTTAAAATTATATATATTGTTATATTTATAATGTAATATTCATCTTTATCTTAATTTTCATCTTCATTCAAGTAAAAATTAAATTTTTTATTAAATATAAATAAAATTAACATTTCTAACTCAAAATAATAAAAAAGTTAAATAAACTCATTTACCACTTGAATCGACTTATATCCTTCGCTTGCATATATAACATCTCAAAATTCACTATAAGAAATTTGGAAACTAAAAACAAGGGGTTATTATTATTATTATTTTTATTTCTATATTTATAGAAGTCTAGAATATTAATTAAGATTTTTATTTAAAATTTAATATTTTAATATTAAAGAAAGTTGGATGAAAGAGATATGATTATAACGGGGTTTGAAAATGAGCATGAGATTTAATTAATATGAGATTTTTTGTATGATGGGGGTGTCGGTCATATATGAAGATATTTTAGAGAGAAGCGCCCCAATATCTCTGGTTCACACCACAGTTCACATCATGACATCGACACATAAAATTAACTATTGTTGTTTGTTGCTGTGAAAAGAAAATTGTAATTCAAGAAAAGGCAAACTATGTCTATGAATAGATTTAATAATTTTTATATTTGTACATGTTTATTTTGTATTAAATATATAAAATATAAAAATTATTATATTATAATTTATATTAATATATTAATATATTAAATATATTTTTTTAAATTTGTATATATTTTATCAAAAATATAAATATTATTTTTATATCATATTTAAAATTATAAAATTTATCTTTAAAAGAATTTAACAAATATGTAATTTAAATAATTAGATTAACCAGTGCTTATAAACATTTGTTAAAAATTAAGTAAAATATTAATATTTTTAAAAATATTTTTCATTTAATATCATATTGTTTTCATCTTAACAAAAAAAAAAAAACTCTTAACTCCATATTCCACAGCTTTATCTTAAAAACTGCCACTGATCAGACCGAATCATTCAATGAAAGGGAATGGCCCACAACCAAAACAAAAGAAAAGGAATTGAATGGTCCAGATTAATGAGTTTTGATGGGACCCTGTCCCTAAGTAGGTCATTACTACCCACCACCGATGTCTACGGTGCCAGCAAAAATTAAAAAACTCCTCGTTTTTTTTTTTTAAGTTTTTCTCTCCGTTATTATTGAAATAAAAAAATAAAAAAAAAAAGAGAGGAGGAATGATCCACTTGTTTGTCAGTGACGATGTTCATTGGTTTGGGCAATGAACAGAAGTTGGGACCCCCCCCACCTGAGCTAACACCTGGAATTGATAAGGTCTGGCCCCCGCACTCCTGATCCTATTACCCTTCTCCCTTCCCCTCTCTCTCTCTCTCTGTCCCGTTTCTCTGAAAAGTCTTAATCATTGATGCAGTAAAACCTTGGATTCATGGCACAGATTAGAATCAGAATGAAAGAAAAAGAAAAAAAAGAAAGTAGTTGTAAATCTTAACACCAAAGTCGTAAAATTCTTTCAAATTTACAAATGGCTTTTACTACTTTTGTCTTAAAATTTCATTTGACTGCTTTTTTTTTTGGAATCGTTGGTATCGATCATGAATAAACGGTTTAAAACTGAAGTTGCCACATCCAAAGGACTTAGTTGAAAGGGACGCACGGTGCTCACTACAATTGTTTGCACTGTAGTGCTCACCCTACAAAAGGGCAGTGAACACTGTTTCATCTCTTTCTCTATTTATACTTTAGCGGGTATGAATCACTCGTACTATTAGTAAGTTATTCTAGTTGAATTTGAAAAAAAATTTTGAATTTGATTTATTTATTGTTAAATTGAGTTCAAAGTTATTCGAATAATGAATGAGTGGAATTTGAATAATTTAATATCCAATTCAAAATTTTTTTAAATTTAATAGAGTTTTTATTTTATAGTATATTTAATATATATAAGTAAATAATAAATATTTAATATTTAATATTAATATTTATAATTTTATTAAATCATATCAAAATTTTAAATTAAATTTAAACGGTTGAATTAAATTAATTATAAATCAAATTCAAATATAAAAATAAAGTTTTACGGAATGCTAGTTGAGCTGAACTTAAAATTGATAATAAATAAATTCAATTCAACTCAATTAAATCTTAATTTATACTATTACTCAAAATTTTTGGCCTTTTTACCGTTTCATAGACAAAAGAAGTGAGAAAAAAAGGAAAGAAAAGGAAAAAATTCAATTGCTGGTGGGTAGGAAACTAACCATATGACATGCATATAATGCAAGTCAATTTTTTTCCTCTCCAAAACACACAACGCATAAAAATTACATAGGCAATGCGATTTTGACCTCTTCCAGAAAACAACGATGGCACAAGCAAATGATGAAATGAAATTAATATTGTGTAATTAAATAAAAATAAAAAAGCAAAAAAATTGAGATTTTGTTTCAGCAAACCAGCCAATACCAATGTTAAAAATAGTGTCTTCTCCTCTGTCTGTCTCTTACTCTCTCTCAAACCCCAACAAGAACCCCATATTAATCAAACCAAAAAAAATTTTCTTCTTTTTTTTGGCAAAAAAAAAAACTCAATTCTTTTTTTTTTTTTTTCAAAAGAACAATCAAACCTCACGTGTGTTACACATCAAACTACACAACAGATCAAAAGAAGCAAAGAGATGATGCATGGTGATATTGAACATCTCTATGAGTGATGACTAGTTGTATCGAGCCGGTCATCGCTGCCGCTGCCAACTCCAACACCACCCTCTCCTCCGTGGTGTGAATGGGATCCGCTCACTTGTGATTCTGACACGCCGGTGCCAGAGACTTGCCGATAAGGATTCAACCCGGCTAGCATATTTAACTGTCCTTCACTTATGCAATTACTTCCACCACTGCCACCACCAGCGCCAGTAGTAGCAGTGCTTGAACCCAATTGTTGGCCTGGCAATAAGGCCATTGGAGTTGGAAAATTCATGAAATGTAACCCACTAGACATAGTGCCCCTATACAAAGCACTGTTATTAACTGAAGGAAATGTCCAGACGGGGTCACCACTTATAACTTGATTATTAGAATTAGTTACCATCCAAAAATTAGCTGGAATCTGACCGTGACTTGCGGCTGGAATTGCGCCTGTGCTTGACTGCAACAAGTAATTAGCCATTTGATGTTGTGAGGATAAATCTTGTTCGGGTCTTCTTTTCCTTCCTAGAGTACCTTCTTCAGTTTCTGATATATCCAACGAAGTACTATTATCACGCAACTCTTGCTTAGCTTGGAACATGGAAGTCAAGTTACTACTAGATTGGAAGTTAAGGAATGTTGGGGTTGTTTCTAGTCCAATTCCGGGGAACAAACTTCTACGTTGTTGCATAGAGAAGTTGGAGTTGAAACCTGAGGATCGCAACTGAGAAGGAACTGACATGCTTGAGCCTGAGCTACGGAGAGAGATGTTGAGGGAAGTGAAGTTTGCTGGGATAGTGCCAGTGCCCGTGGCGGCGATCACTGCCGGTTCAGCTTGTTGGAGTAGCCACTCGATTGTTTCACCATCGGACTTGTGGCCTAGTTCACGAGTGAGTTGAAAAACCCTAGCTGCACAAAGAGCTGGCATGCGGATTCTACGACCACGTCCATCGACTTTGGTGTGTCGGTCTTTGGTGGAAGTACGTTTAGGGGGTGGTTTTTTGGAAGGTTCCGGGGAGATTTGGAGGCTTGCAATGGAACGAGTTGTGTTGGGTTGATCGGCAGATGAAGACGGTGGGACGAGGGAAGGAAAAGGAAGGGAGGAAGAGGAGGAACAAGGTTGGTTATCTTCTTCTTTCTTCTCCAGTAATTGGAATGGGAAATTAGGGCGGTGGTGCTGCTGTTGATGGTGATGATGGTGGTGAAGGTGGTGGTGGTGGTGGAGTTGATGATCATCACTACCTCCTCCTTCCATGATATCATGAAAGTTATAGGTTATTTCTCCAATGGCTTTCTTTCTTTTTCTTTATGAGAGACTACTTTGTGGTGGTGATGACTGATGACAGATGGGGATCAGAGGGAGTCTTTAATTTAATCTTTTGGTGGGTCTTTTGATCTTTTTCTTCTTGTGAGTGTGTAGACTAAATGTTCAGAGGGGAGGGAGTCTTTTGATTGATTTGCTTTCTTTCATCAAAATCTCTTTTGAGGGGTTTGCCTGGAATTCTCTTGATGAGAATTCATGTGTTTTCAGACATAGATAGAGAGAGAGGATAAGGGAAGAGGGCAAGCTTTAGGCAACAAAGATAATGAGTGGGAATTATATGGGTGAGCTTTATTTTTTAGAAAAGAAATGGCTTTGTTGATGTCTTGGGAGGGAGGGCACTGCTCAAAATTTTTATCATGAAAAGAAAAAATAGATTTTTCTTTTTCTTTTTAATTTATGTGAATCTGAGGCTCCTTTTTATTGTGGATGGACAGCCCCTTTGGTTCAGACTCCACGTGAGGTGCTCTTTTTATCATTCAATCCATGAAGGCAATGGTGGCCAAGGTGGGACCCGATCCCAAGTCAAAAAATTGAGAGACTTAGAAAGGAAAGATTATCAAATGGGACCCATCTCATTCAAGTAATCATTCAATTTTGCCTTTGCCCTTTGCCTTTGTTCTGCACCTTTGCTGGGGGACTTTGGGATTCCTCGAGTTTGCCTTCTTGTTGGCCAATTTGGTTAGGGTTTAGGACTTTTTGGTTAGGGTTAAAAGGATTTCCAAACTCATCTTTGATTAATTCTTTGGCTCCCTTTTCCTTTCCTTTGCCAACAAATGAAAAGAAAAACAAAACCAGAAGCAAATGCAAACACTTTGGATTAAAATTTTTTTGCACAACTATGATCTACTACAAGTGTTGATTAGTCCTTGGAATTATCTGATACATGTGAACAAAACTTTTTTTTTTTTTGGATAACCAAGGATTATAATTACCAGATCAATTTAGACTCTAATGGAGGGAATATAATCAATTTCCCTTTAATCATTGCCTTGACTAACATAGTGATATTTGATCAGCTCTGCTGCTATGCACATTAATTCATCATATTTATAGAGAACAATAGTCTCATCCTCCTCCATGGTGAACACATTTCTGAGGTGCACACGTCCAAAATTGTGATATATAAAAGAAAAAAAATTGGGTTTCTAATTACAGTTGCTCATGGTTTGGATCAACTGCTCCAGTACTGATCCAAGTCAAAACTTGCAGCAGCAACCCATACACAGAGCTGGCACATAACCAGAACTGATGATCTCTGAAAAAGAAAACATTAGTATTGAGAAATTGGGTTTATTCAGAACCCCAAATGTAAAAAGCCTGTGTAAAATATATTGGTATTATTCCCATAAACATCGAAGCTGATAGAAGGCAATGCATTCGGAAATCGTTTTCCAAACATAGATAAATATGCAATGATGATCCTACTGCATGGAAGGCAGAAAGGGTAGGCTTTCTGGTGGCAAATCTATAGCTAAATCATTTTAATTAGTTGGGATTCCTTTAAGGCTCTCTCCACTGGTCCTGACTTTCATCTATTTGAACAAAATCGATTAGAGAAGAAGCCCCTTTTTGGTTTTTCCCTTTCCTTTGTGTACTTGTTGGCAGGTTAGAACTTGGCTTTTGCATCATCATTATTGCTGCTGGTACGTAGATATAACCTTACCAAGGTAAAATATTTAATTTCAACATTGCTTTTAATTGGTTTGTTTTTCTCTATCTACATACTACTACCATAGCTCGGGCATACTTGACTTTTTTTTTTTTTTTCATTGCATGCATTGTATAAAAAAATTTTAAAATTTAATTAAGTTAATTTTTATAATACTTTCAAAAGATGATATTAATAGGATTAGAGTTCTAACATTCATAATTCTTTTTCTTATCCTTAGATTATAATTTCGTTTGTATAAAACATTATTTATATTGAACATTACGATATATAAAAGATAATTAAATATATGATGTTGGGCTACATAAATAGTAAAAGACAAATCTTTTTATCCCATAAATTTCATACTTTTTTTTTTTTTTTTATAATTCGAATATGAGACATTCAACTTAGAGTCTCATTTTCAGTTTCTTGAATGTCGCTTTTGAAACTCAAGGAACTCAGCATAGCATGTTATAGAAATTGCACATATACAGTATGGTTGTCTTTAGATTGGACTAGTTTTATCTCTTTAAATGCAATCTGTACCTTGCCATTATTTTCAAGGTCGTTACCGGCATTACCATATTTGTTGAAGAATTAAAGTTTTTTTCTCTTTTACTTTATTTAGCAAGCAAGACAAATTTGTAGGTAATAAGATTTCACTAAGGAATGTTTTTTCAGGATTCTATGTCAATTTTGATATCTATAGCTTTAATCAATAATAATAAAAGTATTTGATGGGTAATAATCAAATACAGGTTGTACATAATACAATTTTTTATACAAATAAAGTCAATACGAGAATTAAAAAAATTATAAATATTTAAATTTAAATTTAAAATTTATTAAATATTATTTTTTAAAATTAATTTTACAAACCATGTATATTATATTATATTATATTATATTCCGGATCCACTTGGACATGACATAATACAGTTTGTGATTATGCTTCAGACTTTAGAGTGGAAGTGGGGTATCTTTTCTTTTTGTTTTTGTTTTTTTTTTTTTCAACTTCCGAGAGAGTTTGGGATTGCAGCTTTATTTTAGACAATGAAAAAAAGCTTACCTAATGCGCTGATCTGATATCTACGGCTGCAAACAAGATAAAAGTTTTGGTTATAGCGGAATCAAGTTAAAAGGCGTTTTCCTTCCTCTATATTGATCTTTACATTTTTTTTCTTGGTTTCCCTTTCAGAAACTGTGGCAAAGCCGTTTTGCTTGACCTTTACTTTCTTTTACCCTTCAGGTTCCTAAGAAAATTGAAATTAATTGATTGCTCTTTGGTATAATTCCAGAAACACAGAGCTACTTTTAATAAAATTCAAGGTTTAGCTTTCTTCTAGTTTTGTTGGTTGGATCTTATCAAAATTTCCCAGAAAGAGTGCTGAATTAAGCAAGTTTGCAAAAATATTCAAAACATTTCGTGTCAAATATGAAGGAGATGGGTATGGTAAATAAAATGTTATTTTTTCTATATAGATAAGTAGGGAGGTAAGGTGAGATTCCTTTTAGTAAAAAAAAAAAAAATTACTTATTGTTTAATTCTTAATTATATGATTACTATTGGATAGGTTATTACCTACATTAGTGGTAACTAAATTTAGTCAACTTTTTAAAATTGTTTTTTAATGTAGATTGCTGAAAAGAAGAGATATGATGAATCTTACATGTAAATGCATGGGATTTACTAATTACTAGAAACATGCTATATTTATATTATTCATCAGAGTTATTAAATCTAAGCTGCAGGCCTGGCCCGATTAGGTTGGAGTCTTGGACAAAAATTTTTGATTTTAGGTTTGACTTGATATGAAATATTAAATTATTAATAAAAAATGTTTTAAAATTTAAATTTAATATTTATTAAAAAATTCTGATTTAGTAACCACATTTCAAGATAAGATACTATTTATACAAAAAATTAATTGTTTTATTTTATATACCTAATTTAATATATAGTGTTAATTTGATATTGCCAACAAGGCTTTATCTTAATGTGCAGTAAAAAAAGGAACATTGAAACCTTTAGGTTCAAGTTTCACTATGTAGGATGATGTGATCTAATTTTATGTCTATTTATTATTTTCGATTACTCGATTGGTTTATCACATTTTATACTTCCTCTATTCCAATTAAATTGTCATAATTATTTTTTGGTTATTTTTTTTAACTTTGACCTCATTATGTTAAGTATTTTTATTAATTAAATTTTATCAAACATATATTTAAAAACTTCTTCATTCAAAATTTTGAAAATATATTTTTTCTTATAATTTCCATCAGTAATAAATATAAAATAATAGGGGTCAAAGTTTAAAAATTTTGACAAAAAAATCAAAATGTGACAAATTAATTAGGATAGAGAGAGTATTATAATATATATTGATTGTGAAATTTTTGTTTGTATACATAAATTCGTTAAAAAAAATCATGCACACTATGAGATTTTTAAAATTACTTTTTTTTTTTGGTCTCTTTGACTAGCTATTTCATTGTTTTTTGTGCTACCTTGATGAAAATACCAAAAAAAAAAAAGGACAAATGAGCTGGTGCTGTATGTAAATGCAAGAACATAGATAGGGCAGCACAAACTTGCAGGGCTCAAGTGAAATGTTGTCTTCTTCTGCGTTTTGTAGGAGGAAATTAGATGAGGGAAAAATGAGAAAAGAAACAAAAAAAAAAAAAAAAGGAAAAGGAATAACACAGTAGTAAAAAGAATATCCTGGCCCATAAGACATGACAACCACAAAAAATGAAAAAAAAAATATAGCAGTGTCTCTCTTTGTAATCTAGTCTCATGCAAATGTAAGGGAAATTCCAATATCTCAAAACTGAGCGGGGTGAGATTGTAGAATCCTGTGGTACATCTGTTTAGGACTGGAGGTGGTGCCAGGGGTGAAGTAACAGTTGCCTGTGTTTGATCGCACTGCTGTGTCCCACCGAGTTCTCTGTGGCGTGGACCTTTTGCCAAGAGATATGGGACTTAGCCCGATGTCGCCTTTTCTGACACCACATGCCTTGCCACTTATGTATGCGCTTCTGAACAAGACAGTTTACTCTCCAACTTAGCCTCCGGCCTTTAGCTGAGAGAAAGAACTATAGCTTATTAGTGTTATGATCTGCTGGGAGGCTGGACAACAATCTGGAGGAAAGGTGGGGGCTCACGATTTGGAAAGATGAGCTAAAATTGTTTTATATGGACCGCTTAATTTGTGATTTGGCTGCATATCCCCTACCTGCTCTTCTCCGCAATTCTTTCATGTCTTCACAAAATGGTCGTCTTTTATTGCTTTGGGTGCATGCGTGTCAAACTCGAAGCCATCAGGGCTGGACATTTATATATCGTCGAAGAAGAAATAAAGATTGTGGCGGCATTCATTCTGTATAGGGGAATGCCAGCATCTGCAAGCATCAGTGGGATTAGTAATTAGTTTAGCAAATCCTACTCCTACTCTTCAGCTACAACTAGGTTAGGATGCCGATGTTGAATATTATGTTTTTAAGGTCAACCTAGCCAATCAGACTCTTTTGTCATATTGTAATAATTTATTGTGTAGCATGAATTGTGCTTT